TTGAGCCATCCCTGCCCCAACACAGGCCACCTGCCGCCCCTGACAGGCTTTTAGGAGATGCTGGAAAGCTGTGTCCATCGCTTCCCTCCGTAATCGCTGCAGCTACCCAAATCCTCGTGCGGTCCTGGGAGCTTCCAGCACAGACCTGCACCCACTGCACCGCCTCCATCCCCACCAGTCCTGGCTGCCTGGGGCTGAAACGGGCTGGGAAACACTGCACAAGGCGCTCGCAGGGGCGGGAGAGCATCTCCTGGGTTTGGCACATCCAGCAAGTCTAAGATGCTGTTAAAATCTGCTCGTGACCGTGCGTGAGCTGGGTCCCAGCCAGAAGCCAAATGGTTCAAACCCCAGCTCTTGCCCCAGCGCCCAGTCCTTCCCAAGGAGCAGTAAGCACTCACGGAGCGTTGAGCACTCGTGTCCTGCCACAGAGCCTGTTCTTAGCTCTGGGCTTTTGGGGTTTTTTTTTTGTTTTTTGTTTTCCTTTGTTTTCATGGGAACTCGGCTAATTAATCACTTGCAAAATGCACCGGGCTGTCTTTCTGGAACGCAGTGCTTAGAGGAACCCCTGGCACCTGAACTTCATGTAACCCACCTCTGTGGAAGACCGGTAACAACTCCTAAATATATATATTCTTAACCCTTGCCTGCCTTCGAGTTCCTTGGGGTGGCACCGCTCTGCTCCTTGTCTCTCTGTCTTTACAGATATACTCGTGCCCACAAAAAGTGGCAGACAAGCCTTCTGCTCCCGGCGAGCGTGGCATTGCTGGAGCCCAAACGTGGTGAAATCCCCGAGTCCCCCGAGGAGGCGGCGGCGGGGACCGTGGGGCACCCAGAATTACCGGAGGCAGGTGCAAGACCGGCTCTCGCCTCGCACAGTTAATTAAAGGGATCAATTTTTGTTTGTTTTCTCCTGGCGCTTGCCACCGTGCATGGGTTTAATAAGGATCTGAAAGCGCTGGTGCGGGGTGCCGGGGTGGGGAGGGGGGGGAATCATCTCCTCTCCCTTTCGCCCCCGCGCATCAGCTGCTTCCCCTTCTTTTTAAAATCTCGTGGATAAATCTCCAGTGAGCACGAGCAGTGCTGGACCGCCAGGCTTTTGCAAGCCAAAACGGGGCTTCTCTGGGTGGGAAGGCAGGGAGCAGGTTTAAACTTCGATCCCTCTTCCTTGTGTGTTCCCCAAGCGGTGCCAAACCCTACAGCAACGTAATGAAGGGCTGGACACCCTTCTTGTAGCAGGAACAGGACCCCCAGAGCGTGTGCGCCCCTCGAAATGTGGGACCTGGGAGCTTCTGCTGCAAACAGAAGAGCTCTCGCCTCTCTGCTGCTTTGGCTCCCATTGCAGGTGCGAGACGCTGATTTTAAAATACTGCTTGTCAAGGTGTAATGGTAACGTCTTGCTGGACTGAAAGAAATGGCTTGCTGAGCTCGTAGCTCTCCTGTTTTTGGTGATCTGACCCTAGGGAGTCTGTGTTTGGTTCCCTTTCTGCTGTAAGTAAATCCTCAGCGTGAGCTAAGGAGACCCGAAAGCCTGGGGGATACTGAGCGTTTGCGTTCTGCAGGGTCTGCTGCTTTGTCAGCTAAATCCTCTCCAGCTCAGATGTTAGACACCGCAGCCTGACGTCCTGTCACCTCCTGAATGAAGTAGCTGCTCCTCTTCCTCCCCTGGCCTCCCAGGGTCGCAATAAAATCCTGCTAAGCAGAGACTGTCCGTAAAATCACGGAATGACGGCGCTTTCTGTGTGCCTGGAGATGGCATCTCCTTCTGCAGGGAAAAAAAAATAAAAATCACTCCATCCTCCGAGATCAGCCTTCCTGAAAGGAACTGGGGATTGATGGTGATCAGTAGGGGTTAACTGAATAAATCCTTCCTCCCAGGGCACGTGTGCCTAAAACCACACGTAAAACGGTGCACGGTGCCTTGTCTTGGTGGGGTGAAGGTGCTCTTGGCCTGGGGGAGGTTTTGCAGCTACACGCTTGTCTGTCTTGTGTTTCTTTAAGCATCCTTTCTCCCAACGCTGGGGAAAGTTGTTCCTGTTTTACGGTGTTTCACTGGTGTAAGGGCTCGGGGGACCTGGACCTGACGACACGAGGAACATCTGCGAGTCTCCTAACCTGGTCTGTGAGTCTCCTAACCAGCCTGGGCCCTGGTTTCCAGTCTGCTGGTCCCGTTTATCTCCATCAGGTCTCGCTGAGCTCCAACCATGTGCTCCCACCACCTCCGTGGCACCAGCCAGGGTGTGGGTCGGACTCTTTGCAAGCAGATTCAGCTGCCGGAGAGGGGACGTGATGGTGTGGGAAGGGTAGGATCTTCCTGCTGCGCTCCTGGGACCTCCAATGTTGGTGTTTTTTTGTGCTTCCCAGATGAACGTGGCCATCTGACCTTCCTCTTCTCCCCTCTCTGGCACCGTAGCTTCTTCACCCGTTGTTTTGCCTCGCTTGGCTTTGACTGTAAGCCCTTGGGTTGGGTTGTATCTCACTTCTCCATCAGTAATGTCTAGCTGGGAAGTGACCCCCAGGTATCTGCTGGGAGGATCAATGGTAATATTCAACCAGGTATTAAATGCGCCCTCTCCTGCGCGGGAGCTCTCTGCGTCCTCCTCTGCAGCGGCGCAGCCATCCTCATTGCCACCGAAGGCTCTGCCGACAGGCGGGGCAGGAGCATTGCTGGGCAGCACGTGCCTCCGTTTCTATTTAAACTGATTAAACCCATCGACAGCATTCAAATGCCTCCGTTTCCATTTAAACTGATTAAACCCATCGACAGCATTCAATGAGTTTAATTTCCTTAATTTGCCCCCCTGGGCTAGCGTACTGTTCGAGAGATCCAGCAGCCGGCAGAGCGCGCTGTAGGGGTGAGCAGCTGTGGGTGGGATGGGGTCCTGCGAGCTTGATTTTTGGGGCTCTGGTTTTGGAAATGCTTCTGTTTGAAGCTTGTGGGGGTTTGACCTCGGGGGGGGGATTCGGCCTGGGGGTGCATGTGACTGAGGTTGTCTGATGGTGGTCCCTTTGGGGCCCGAATTGTGCGGGAGAGGTGTAAAAAGAAGAGCCTAGAGAAGGGGGAGAATCAGCATCTGAATATCGGGGAGGTGCGTGCACTGGGCAGGGGGCCAACCGCTCTCCTGGGGGGAGGTGGGAGCATGGGTGGAGTTCTGGGTGTCACCTGGATATTGGTGTCACCTGGATATTGGTGTCATCCACATCGCCGTCCCTGCCGCTGCCAGCTCCACCACCTGTTTGCTCAGGAACCTGAATCTGCTCCCCATATTTGCACCACGCGGCTGACCTGCACCCCTGTTCCTAGCACTTCCAGAAGCATCTCTGGTGACTGGGCAACCACCTCAAACCCTGAATGCTCTTTTTTTTTCCCCCCTGTCCTTCCCGCATACCCTCCTGGGATCTTATTTTTCCCCTGATTGTGGATCTTCTCTGGTGTTTCCATCTATCACTGGGTTGAGACCTAAAAGGGAGCTGGGATGAAGTTCAGAGCTTTGGAAGGCACCTTGGGCCCTTTAGTAGCTGCATCTGCTTGCCTTGCATCACCTTATGTCACCTTTATCGTGACAAGCTCCTGGTTGACCCCGTCTTTTCTGACTTGCGTGGGGTGCTGCCAGCTCTGCCCGCAGCCGGCGACGCGGATGTGCCCTTCCCTAGCGAGAGCCCATGGTCTGGGGTGGCCTGGACGTGTCTGACTGCTCTGTGCTCTTCCCCTTCCTCCTCAGGGAGCTCAAACTGCGAAACTACGAGCCTGAGGATGAGGAGCTGAAGAAGAGGAAGGTGCCCCAAGCCAAACCGGCCTCAGGTGGGTGCAAGCAGGAGCATGGTAGGTGAAACGAGGGAGCACGAAAGCAGAAGCGTTGCCGACGGTGGTGCTGGTGCCTGCGGTGAGGGAATGAGGCAGCACTCGTGGTTGTGAGGGCAAATAAGACAGCACGGGACTCTGCATCCCGCCAGCGTGCTGCAAAATGGATGGGTTGTGCCTTTTGGGAGGCCTTATCGCCCCCTACAACTGCCTGAGAGGAGG